GGCGGTGACATTCCCACTAGTTATCTTTTAGCTATTTAATTCCGCTGATTAGTTTATGATAATTGTGGTTTAGATTTATGATTAAGAGTTAGAAAAGTGGGGTGTTACATTAACTCCTAGCCTAGGGTATCTTGAGTTTGAATATGTGGTTAACATCATTCATTCTTCTGTATAAATAGCCTAGCTTGTATAGCTATATGGAATCAGTAAACACACTTACATATTCACACGTAAAGTTCTCTCTTGTTAACTAACAGCATCCAACAACAAACTTGTACTTTCTTGTTATATTCAAGGCATGCTTAACTTTAGAAGAACAAAAAATGGGGATAATTTGTGTATGAAAAATATGCTTGTCAAAATGTTTGCTAAGTTTGAGAAGTATTGGTATGATTTTAGCTTTATTTTAGCTATAATTGTGATATTGAATCCTCGTTACAAGATTCAATTTAATGATTGGAGTTACAAAAAGCTTTATGGGCCTGATTCTATGGAGTTTTTAAAAGGTAAAAAGAGTTTATTTTCTCTCTACAATGAATATGCTGACAAGATTTCTCATAGGCATGTTTCATCATATTATATGAATCTTAGCAATGACTCAGTTGGCACCGGGAGTAATGATGATGATTTTGAGGTAATTTTTTAAGTAATGCATATAATAATTTTCTTATATCAATTTTTAAGGAATTATTTTAATATGTATTTTTTTTGTGTATGTAACTAGGAATTTGACACTTATGAATGCACTGAATTTTGGGGTTCGAAAAAAATGTCTGAGCTTGAGATGTATTTAGATGAACAAAGAATTGACAGAAAAGTAGACTTGAATATTTTGCATTTTTAGAAGGGAAAACAATTTCGATAACATCAACTTGCTGTCATGGCTCGAGATATCTTAAGTATTCCAGTATCTACCATAGCTTCAGAGTCTGCATTTAGTGTTGCCAGTAAAGTCCTTGACCAATATCGAAGCTCACTTAAACCAAAAATTGTAGAGGGAATTGTTTGTTGCAAAGATTTGTTGTATGAGGATTTAGGTAATACCATTTTTTTAAATAAAGTTTATAAATATGATTGTTGTTTTATTTTTCTTTATTTCATTATTAGTTATTTTTATTGACTTATAATGTTATATTTTGAAAATTTATAGATTCAGGACAAATCGACTTGAATGAGATTACAGAAGATATCATGAATATGAGTAAGGATGAATGTACTACATAGGTTAAGACCTTACACCAATTATTGATGTTCAACAATATGTAATTTGAATTTTATTTTGTTCAATTTTATTCTAAAAAATTATTATGGACATCTTTAATTATGAATTTTGGATGTTATTTTATCATTTTATGAATGTTATTAATTGAATATTTTTTAAATTTGTTTGATGTATTGAATTGTAGGTTTTATTTCTTTTATATATATAACTTTACTTCAAATTTTAGTTTTTAAATATATATATATATATATATATATATATATATATATATATATATATTAATAGGTTTAGCGGGTTTAAACCTGTATCGCGTCATATCGTATCGATACGACCTGAAACCTATTTGCAAAACGTGTTTATCGTGGCAACCCGTTTATAGATCGTATTCGTGTTCATGTTAAAAAATTTAAACCGTTAACCTTAAAGTGTTGTGCCCGTATTTATCATTATCGTGTTCGTGTCGACCCGTTAATGAACCTATATACACGAATTGTCAGGTCTAGTCACCAGCGAATCCATAAAAAAAAAAACGTCACATTGCAACTCATCCCTGCTTCAATCCAGGGTGATCACAACACGAAACAATAAGGTAATAGATCATCTTCCTCATTTTGTCTTTTTCTTGGAAATCTACCGCTGGCCCAAAATATGGCGATCCTGGTGAGCTATGGTGGAACTGGAGGCAGCGATGTCCTTTGTTGCTAATCGATTACGCGATTGGCCATCAATGCTGGAGACAGATTTCCGAACTGCAGATCCAAGGATTGTACCAAGTGAAGCCCCCGTTATCGTTCATCACTGTAATTCTACTATAATTAAAAGTCCTAAAATCAAGAAAAGTATATTCATTAAAAATTAATACAAATTTAAATGCACACACAATTATAATTTCACCAATGTAGATTAATTATGGAAACAAGGATACAAAAAATAAGGAAAATCTAAACTGTTAAAAGTTATTTGTTGGACTCATGTTCTCATATGGGAAGCTGTTCTCGTATGATCTTTTATATATATATATATATATATATATATATATATATATATATATATATATATATATATATATATATATAGGGATTTTGGTGCAGTAATTTGCTCAGGTGCGGACATGTGATTTAATATGAGCTGTTGATCAAATCTAGATCAACGGTTCAAACCAATGAAAATTTAAAAAAAAAACGCACATCTGGAAGAACCAAGCAACTTAACATTAAGCATGAAAATGGCGCACCTTCAATACACAAACCATGCACCTTAAGAACACAACCACGCACCTAAGATTTTAAAATGGCGCACCTTAAGTTTCAACAACTCACACACCTTAAGAAGGAAAACGACGCACCTTAAGAAGAAAAACTACGCACCTTAAGTTTCAACAACTACTCACATTAAGCACACAAACAACGCACCTTAAGCACAAAAATCACGTACCTTAAACACAAAAACCACGCACCTTAAGTTTCAACAACTACTCACATTAAGCACACAAACCACGCACCTTAAACACAAAAACCACGCACCTTAAGCACCCTAAAATCATGCACTCTAAGCACACAAACCATGCACCTTAAGCAGTTAAGCACACAAACCATGCACCTTAAATTTGACCTAGATGCAAAAATTATCAAATTGCCACCGTGTTTTTTTTTGTTTAATTTTATTAATCCTGGGCGTTGATTTAAGTAAGATCAATGGCGCAGATTTAACCGCATGAGAACTATATTACAACATACTTTTTGCTTTGTTTTTTTTTTTTAATTATATTGTCAATAACCACTTTATTGTTTTAAATATTATTTATCAAAATTATGTAGTTTTAAAATTTACTTTTTCAAAATAAGATATATCTAGTAGGAGAATGTAGCATAATTCTTAAGAGATGTTTGGTTCAAATCATATCATATAACCCCAAGTAATATGATTTTGAAATATTGTATGCTTTTATTTGATTCTCAATGTATAAAACTTCTCAGTAATATTTTAAACACTTATGATTGATAGATAGATAGATAGACAGATAGACAGGTAGACAGATAGACAGATAGGCAGATAGATAGATAGATAGAAATATTTTTGTAATAAAGTTTTGATGAGCCAGATAGATAGAAATACACATGTGGATCACATTGTCAACATACAGACAGGAAAATTCGAAGACTCATTTGATGAGAATAGAAAGAGTCAACAACATTTGATTGATACACACCAATCACTGGAGAGACAAGTTGGCGGGTTGAATGCTAATATCAAAGGATTACTCAATGAGTTCTTTATCCAACTGTCTCAATCTCTCAAGAATGATAAGAAGGCCATTGAAGCAATTTCTGTGAATCAAAGCAAAGGAATTCTCAATGTGGTACATCAACAAGAAAATCAAATCAATGATGTTCACACGGATATTGACTCCATCAACACCAAAGTTGGTTGCCTTTGAAGTTCCTATGAAACCATCTCAGAATCAGTTTCTTCTCTTCGTGAATCTGTGCATATACTTATTAATTACGCCAAAAAGGGGGAAGAAAGGTTCAGTCATTTGGAAGACATGATGCAAACCATAATGTCTGAAATAGCCAATGGTGGTGGAAACAACTCAAGAGGAGGCAGATCTGCTGCTGGCAGAATTAATACCACAACCAGAAAAGGAGGATTAGAGTATTGGTTTGGTTGTAATGCAAGTAGTCCAAGAGGATCTAGCAGTGCTAATACCACTAACAGATCATTTCGGGATTTTATTTGTGCAGGTGGAAGTCATGAACACATCAACTGGTTCAACAAAGTAGCTCTTTACTTGGAATCCACACCAAGAGATAGCAGAGTTGAAATGCCAAAGATGGTGAATCTGAATGATCTACCAAAAGGAATGAAGAAGAGTGGTCCAAGCAATCAAAATATGTGGGTTTGAAATGAGAAATTCAGACGCATCAAGAGCTATGCAAGATCCCTAATGCTAATGGTGTTTCTAGACTACATCAAAGTAAATGATGCAGAACTACAAGGAGATAATAGTCTAGAAAAATGCATATTATGGTATGAAGAAAGTATACTGCCCGGAGACAACATCATTGAAGCCTTCAACTATTACGTGATTGGGCAGGTATGCAAAGACTATGCAATTAGCAACAATTTTGTTGATGTTAAAAACCATGTTAATCGCATGTTGGAAGAAAGAAGGAATAAGATAATCAAGTAATTTGTAATTGATCAGGACTATGTGGTCTAATGGTATCCGGGTTGGACTTGCATTTGGAAGGTTGTAAGTTCGAGCCTCAGTGGAGGTGTTATTAGCTCTCTGTGTTTCAGTAGGTTGAGAAAGTATATGAACAGATACTACAATGTAATAGAGCTAGTAGCATTCAAAAAAAAAAAAAAAGTAATTTGTAATTGATGTTACAATGTTTTGTTTGATCTACAAACTTTAAAGTATGATCATGAACAATTTGCTATGATATTTTGATCAATCATCTGATTATGATGCTTATAGTATTTTATTGTTATTTTAATTTGTCTTGAAAGGTAAATTTTTAGCTTAGCTTGTAAAAATCGCATAATTGAAAAAATTGCAAAATTCATTAATAAATTAAAAATCCAAAAATGCGAATAAGAATTTTTTTTTTTTTTTTTTGCTAAAAATACCTTTCCTAGAGTCAAAATCAATTGTTAAACTCATCATGGCTATGTCAAGATTAATAAAATCTTTTGAAAAATAAATTTTTTAAGACAAGTCAAATGACTGAGTATAAGTTTTGGCGTCATCAAAAAGGGGGAAAATTGATAGGAATATTTTTGTAATAAAGTTTTGATGAGCCAAATGTACTTGAGATCCCCTTAAGATTTAGGTCTTTAGTACAAGCATCATGAATCAGTATATCAAGTCAGTATGCAAAGGAAAGACTACCACATGAAGAACAAAATTAATTTCCTACAAGTATTCATTCGGGATAGAAGTATTGAACAATGGCGTTACAACAAATAACTGGATGAGCCTAGTGGCGAAATGGTAGAAGTCCTTACATATAATGATTATACTCGAGATTAATTCCCCCCAAGGACTTATTTTTTATAAGTCAGAATTAGAAGGAGCACAATGTCAACAAGCAAGATGTGCCCAATGAGCACAATGTCAACAAGCACAAGCACAATGCGTCAAAAGGAAGGAGCACAATGTCGGATAGAAGCACGATGTGATCAAACCAGAAAAGCATGATGTACACAAAAGGAGCACAATGTGACCAAACAAGCAAGATCTGATTTTAGACAAGCAAGATGTGTTCTAAGAGAAGCAAGAAGCTTAAGTGCACGATAGAAAGTTCTGAGATACACAAGTCAAAAATCAAGTCAAACAAAAAGCAAGATATGGCTAAAAGAGCAAAATGTGGCAAAGAAGCGATGATCTGAATCCAAATAAATTCGAATGAATTTATATTGATTCATCCCACATGCCACAAGAATCCAAAAAGTGCCTAAGGACACGATCAGAACAATTGGGAATCTTATCCTAAAAATTTAAATCATGTCAGAAGAATTCATTGCTAAGAGACGTTGGATATTTGAAGATGATGAAGAAGATAATAATTTTTAGAAACAACTTGAAAATCAAGTTGAGATAAAAAAAAAATATTATCTTGTCAGGCAAGTTGACAATCAAATCAAAATTGAAGACCTACTATTGTCAACAATATCAGGCTATGAAGATTCAAATTTCAAATATCAAAGTATCCCGCTCCAACGGATACATTTGATTACCTATAAAAAGCCATGAAGACTTGAAGATATGAAGAAGGATGAACAAGTGCGAATTCTAGAAATACAAAGTACTCAAAATATTCATTAAATATCTAGAAAAGAGACTTAGTCTGAATAGTCTCAAAATTAGTTAGAGAGAGATACAATTACCTTTGTATTTGTAATAATTGTAAAAAGAGTATAGCTATGTGCAAAATACTCTAGCTGTGTGCAAAACACTCGTAGTTGCTAAGTGTAGCTGTTTGCAAAACACTTAGTTGGCGTTTGAGTATAGCTGTGTGCGAAATACTCGGAGTTGGGTGTAGCTGTGTGTAAGACATCCGGAAGAAGTGCTTGTGTAGCGCTTATTCACTATTGTAACTGTGTGTGGAAAATAGTGAATTACTCCTAAAAGTGAATGGAGTAAAGTGGACTAGGAAGATTACGCCACTTCCGAACCAGTATAAATTGTCTCTCTCATTTACATACCGCAATTACATAACTCGCTTTATTTATTTATCATTTGACTAACTCGTTTACTATTCACTGTAAATCTCAATCTTTCGGGTTTAGTGTGTTTTCACGTATGCATGTAACTCAAACTTTCCGAGCTTAAGATTTGAATTATTCTAAGCAAGTTTGACGTGTTGCATGTGACATTCATCATACAGTTGATGTAACATGAAGTCTTATTTATAATCTTGAATAATATTGTTAAATATTGAGTGCACCATCTCCTTTAAATATTCAAGATATTTTTGTCATCCTTACACATCATCTGAACTTATTTAACATGTGCATGTGATTCAATTTGTTACTTGGGCATAACTCTTTACACATATTTATTCCGTTGTGCACTTCAAGTTAAATACTTCTCTATTTACTTGTTATTTAGAGTTGAAATTACCAAAGAGTTATTTATTGTGAAAAAGCTTAGAAAATTTATTCACCCCCCCCCCCCACTAGACTTTCTACCACCATATCGGGACCAACAGATAGATAGATAGATAGATAGATAGATAGATAGACAGGCAGACAGACAGACAGAGAGATCAGGGACGGAGCCAGAAAATCGGGTGAGGGGGGCAAAGGAGTAGGGACGGAGTCAGAAAATTTTTTCAATAAAGGCGAAACATTAAAACAAAAGAAATAATTTTTAAAAAAATAATTAATTAATTAATTTGATTAAATAATTTGAATAGAAAACACATTATAAATTACACATCTCATTATTAATATAAAAGAATATTATATATAATATATGTGTGTGTATTAAAAAGTTATGGAAAACACTGTAAAAATAATATGTTAATGCAAGGATTTGAAACCATGATCTTTACAATTACCAAACATGTGATTTACCAACTAATCTAACTCATTCTTATTAACATTTAATAGTTTTTTATATACTAATACTAAAACCTGTACTATATATACATAAATACATACAAAGATTATATAGGGGGTGGGGTGGGGTGAGTGGGGGCAACCGTCCCCCTGCCCCCTTTTGGCTCCGTCCCTGAGAGAGATAGATAGATAGATAGAAGTGTCTGGAAAAATTTTCCCCCCAAAACTTTGGGGCATTTTTGTAATATCAATTATTTGGACAAAAATGTCATTTTAAATTAAAATTAATTACACTTTATATGATAATTTTATGTTAATTTTAACTTGAGTTTATTTTTCTCTTTTTCTTTTGTAAAAATGCAACTAATGTATAAATAATAGAGTTAATACCTCCCATGGTCCTCCGAGTATTAACGTTTTACCAGCTGTGATCATTCGACTTTTAAACGACCACGAGACGTCCTTCAAGTTTTTAATTAAAAATAACCACTCTTGGCCGTCTGGTTAAGTTTGGTGTCAAAAGAGGGTTAAATGTGAGGACAATGCTATCTTTTCACCTATATTAGCACATGCATATTTTTCTTTTTTCTTCCAGTCGACTTTTAGGATGGGTGCTAAGAAGAACTACGGTAAAGAATGATGTTTCCGGCGAAAATATTTTTCGGCAACGTTCATCTTCTCCGACAGCTTGGGTCCACTTTTTTTTGTGCGGTTTCCATGGTTTTTCCGGCAGTTGTTTTTCGTCGGATTTTCTCACCAGCAGGCTTAAGAAGATTGCGTCCCTGCAGTCGTAGCTTTATTTCAGTCACTCATTTGGAGGCCGGAATGGTGAACAGAAATAAACTGGATAGGAAAACCAAGTACGCATATTTGGCCATCGCAGAGCCTTGGCCCAAAGTCTCTGGCTTCGCAAAAGTCGACCTTTTCACTGGCCAAGTCAAGAAATTCATATACGGCGGCGAGCCTCTGTTTCTCCCTAGCTCCAACACTGATTTGATGTCATCATCTATCTTTTTCTTTATGACTATACTTCTATTGTCTGTACTAAATGCTATAATCTACAATAGCAGACTGCAAAGAACAAGAAGAGCAGTGATCTTAAGTATGACATTTTTGGATGGATTATACTTGCTGTTGGCATCGTCGCATGGGTGGGCTTTGGGAAATCTCAGGTTCCCCTCCACCGAGATAAGCAAACACATTAAGTTCGCAAAATACATTAAAAAGGTCTGGAAATCAGAGTTCCAGATTGTGAATGCGGAGACCAGTGGGATGGTTGCTGATAGATACATGTTGGAAAATTTCAAAGGGAAATGAAGGGGTGGATAGCGCATCATGCGCTATTAATGTGAAACAGCGCATATTGCGCTTATTTGTGGATGATATGCGTCCTTCCTTTTGTGGAAGGGATGGGGGGCTGCTTACTATAAATAGCAGCTCCCAACATCGTTTCAAAAAACACCTTGAATTCGAGTCCTTTATTTGATTCTCCTTCTCCCTCCCGTCGTCTGAGCAATAGTGAGGTTCGCTTACGCGATTGCTAGTGCAAGCTATCCGTAGTAGGTCTGTGTAGCCGGTCGAAAGCGTGCCAGGGTTCTAACTGCACCGTTACTCGGCAAATAACGCTTTTAAGGTAGTGTTATTATAACACGGCACAGATTTTCTTTCTACCATACATCCGTAGTGTCCGTGCGTCTTAAAAGGCTTCCAGATCGCGCATTGGCGTTGCAAGTTTCCCCAACAGTTAAAAGCGTTATTGTGCAACAGTCAACGAAAATCAAAGTGTCAGAACCGTCTACAACGAAAGGAGTAGAAAAATCAAGAAGTTTAAAGGGAGGTATTTTGCGTGCAGAAAGCAAGGACACCGAGCACACCAGTGCTACCATCACAAGGGCAAAACTAGCAAAAGTCAATCTGACAGAGCAAGATGAGTATTGAGTCTCTTTAAATAAATAGTTATTTTGAGTAACTATATTTGCTCTAGTTCTAAAGGGTTCGCATGAAGTATGGTTATCTTAGTACTGAATTCTAGTTGAGCTGTCTAGATTTTGATTACGTAGTAGTACTTATTTCTTTAGTATTTTGAATACTAATGACATTAATTGAAATAATTCGTGCATAGATATATGCTCTTAATTTTATATCATAGGCTTCAATTGTAATTTAGTGAGAACATGGAAAAGTCATCATTCTTGAACACTCTGTCTAGGAAGATGGTTTTTAAGTAAACTTCGGTTTCACCACTCGACCTGGGAGTTTTTAAGAAGTAGGGTGTTGATCATGCAGGCTAGTTAGAGCGCCACTTGATCTTTACCTGAAATGAGGATGACTTTCATATGTTGCTAATACAATCAAAGCCTTGCAATAAAAGTTGTTGAAGTACTGCAATAGTAATATTGATCTGCATCCTATGAATGCTTTATATGAGTTTTAAAATTCCTTAAGGGAAGAAAAATTGTGCTAGTGGCAACTCTGAAGTCTCATTGTTGAGAGATATTCCGAACAAATATGAACTTAAACATATTCTTTTTGTATGAGATTAATTTCTTATAAGAATATGATGTGAATTTTGTGATTATGTTGTTCAACTTGATGTAGCATGTGGACAACATTATTTCTATAGCTTACTAACAATGAGCACTTGTATATATATTATTTAAACCCTTGGTTGAGTCATATTGAAATACCTATAATTCCTAGTTAAAGGGTAATTGTGATCAATTGAGATAACCAAGTTTGTTGAAATATATTCAACTGTTGAGCATGTATCAGGCAGAGTGCAAAACTGCTATAATGGTTCACAAAGTAAGTCGGCAAAACTCAGTCTACAAAGGAGCTAAAGTTGGGCACCAAATATCAGTCTGGGTAAGAGATCAAATACGTTTGACAAAATTATTTGTAAGTGTTGCTTGTGGGGGTAATAAACTCCTTATATTTTCATCAAAAGTTTCTCTGTGGTATTGAGAATAATGATGAAAGAGAATGTTTCATGTTAAACATGAAAATCTCAAGGGATTATTTACGAGTAAACGAAGTACTCGTCAAAATGCATGTAAGTTTGGTCAAAAGAATCAACTTACTTGAGGGCTAATTATGAGGATTAGTCGTTGACTCATTGGAAGGACTTGAAGTCCAAGTGGTAATGAATTCGTGGTGAATCCCACTTCTGTGGTCAAACGAAGCCATGAAAAGAGTTACAAAATAGTACACTAGTTGGTCATTCCGACAGTGTGTGTACTTGTGAGGTTGAGCTACAACTCTTAATGAATTCATAACTCTTTGAGAAATGGTGGTTTTATTGAGACAAACCTAATGAATTCACCGCATGTGAGGTTGAGCTACAACTCTTAATGAATTCATAACTCTTTGAGAAAGGGTGGTTTTGTTGAGACAAACCTAATGAATTCACCGCATAATGACATGAGTACAAAGTGCTCTTGGTGCCTTATACTCAATTGGGATGGTCCATGTTGAGATAGACCTAAAGAGATCCCTAACTTGAGTGGAAAAGGGCTACCATGGTCCATGTTGAGATAGACCTAAAGAGATCCCTAACTTGTGTAGAAAAGGGCTAACCGCCTCTTATGAAAGATAATAGGGGTTATCCCAAGAAGCTGAGTGGCTAAGAAACATGGTGATAACCGTGTAATTGTGGGGTGTCCAACACCTTCACCACATTGTGATTCACAAACTGTCATTTGTGTTGCGCAAAACAGTGTCTACAATGGGAAACGTAGACACATAAGAGTCAGACATGAGTCTATACGGCAGTTAACAATAAATGGGGTAATCACAATGATTTTTGTGAGATCTGAAAGGAATATTGCAGATCCTTTCACAAAGGGCCTAAACAGGAAGGTCGTCCTTGATACATCAAGGGAAATGGGTTTGGGACCCATAGATACTCTGTAGCCGGTCATGGTGGTCTGCGATGAGGTAGACTTGACAGAGTTGAAGGTCTATCCTAGAATAGACCTAACAGGGGATATCTCAGGGTCGTGAGTATGACCTCATGAGATTCAAGGCGACCAAAGCAAATTAAGTGCGTTGAGTTCAAACTTTGTCTATTCGATGAGTTCAAGATCAAATTCACTCCCGTCTAGAGAAGTACTTAATGTCACTATATGACAGTTCAAGTTTTATACACTGGCATGAAAATTTGTTTTGATCGTTATCAGGCAATGACAGCGTCAGCCTAAATCCCTTTAATGGTGGGGGGATTATTGGGAGCATTTAAAAGTCTGTTTTGTGATAGACTTTGACAGGGTAGAAGTCCATATTTGAGACAGACATAACATTCTTTAATACTAAGGGTGTTCATAAGAAGTCAAAGAGTTTGACTTTTGTAGAACCTGCTTTTTGAGTTGGTGTGTGCATTCGAGTTCAAAATTTATCTACCCGGTGAGCTCAAGATTAACATCACTCCCGGGAAGAAGATTACTCAGCGTCACTAGGATCAACTCATTTGTATTGCTCAGATCTTACTCTTTTTTCCCCTTTAAATTTGTGGGGGATTGTTGGAAAATTTCAAAGGGAAATGAAGGGGTGGATAGCGCATCATGCGCTATTAATGTGAAACAGCGCATATTGCGCTTATTTGTGGATGATATGCGTCCTTCCTTTTGTGGAAGGGATGGGGGGCTGCTTACTATAAATAGCAGCTCCCAACATCGTTTCAAAAAACACCTTGAATTCGAGTCCTTTATTCGATTCTCCTTCTCCCTCCCGTCGTCTGAGCAATAGTGAGGTTCGCCTACGCGATTGCTAGTGCAAGCTATCCGTAGTAGGTCTGTGTAGCCGGTCGAAAGCGTGCCAGGGTTCTAACTGCACCATTACTCGGCAAATAACGCTTTTAAGGTAGTGTTATTATAACACGGCACAGATTTTCTTTCTACCATACATCCGTAGTGTCCGTGCGTCTTAAAAGGCTTCCAGATCGCGCGTTGGTGTTGCAAGTTTCCCCAACAGATACATCCCCGGAACCTTCTATTAAGTTCGCAAAATTAATAGAATCATGCAAACCAATGTCCCCGAAGTTGGCTTGCTATCAGAAGGTTTAAGAAAGAAATAGAAGTGAAATGACATGTTTACTCTCGCGTTGAACTTACATTTTACATCAAACTTAACAGAGGATCATGGTGGTTATTTTTTAAAATTTGGAAGACATTTCGTGATCGTTTAAAAGTCGGATGACCACGACTGCTAAATGCTAATACTCGCAAGACCATTAGAGGTATTAACTCTAAATAATATATCATTAAAAAGTTCTAATTAAGATCTTTTGAATAACATCCATATTGATATATTTTATTTTAAATTTTTAAATAAATCTATAGATACATAAAGTCATTACTTTAATGTAATCTTTATATACATTAACTCATTAAGCTTTCTTTTTAGAGTTAATACCCAAAATGATCCTCGACTATAATGGTTTTTCTCAATTTCGTCCGACTTTGGTGATCTAATGTAGTCTCAGACTTTTATGTTTTTGCTCAATTTAGTCCCAGATTTTTGTGTTTTTGCTCAATTTAGTCATTTGTTTGGTGTTTCGTCCATTTGGTGTTAAATAGATATACAATTCAGTAATTTCAATATTGACATCTCTTTACCCCTAGACCCGCGAAGTGCGAAATCCCTCTTTTTTTTTTTACGAATTACTCCCATAATTACTTCGAAACCTACGAATATAAAATTTTGATTCACAGGTATGGGAGTAATCCGTAAACCAAAGAGGGATTTCGCACTTCGCAGGGCTGAGAGTAAAGAGATGTCAATATTGAAATTACAGAATTATCCCTTATTTAACACCAATTTGACGACAATAACAAACGGATGACTAAATTGAGTCAAAACACAGAAGTCTGAGACTATACTAGGTCATCAAAGTCGTTTAGGACGAAATTGAGAAAAACCACTACAGTCGAGGACCATTTTAGGTATTAACTCTTTGTTTTTATTAACATATAGAAATAACATTATGACCTATTATAAAATGAATAGAAATGCATATGATGATGTGCATTTAGTTTAGGATTTTTGGACATTACAACTTATGTTTATAGACATATAGAATAAATTTCACTTTTAGTCCACTGACTATTATACATGAATCGCATTTGGTCCTTGACTATTAAAATTTTCTAATTAGGTGCATGACTATGTAATTTTTCGACCAACTATTGTCGGAAGTGCTCATTCCGAAATAAGTAAATGCATGCAGTGCTCCTTCCATAAGTGGTCATTCCGGAAGAAACAAATGCAGCACTTCCGACAATAGTTAGCTGGGAAATTGGACGACAAGGCCAAATATGATACAAATTACATAGTCATGCACCTAATTAGAAAATTTTAATAGTCAAGGACCAAATGTGATTCATGTATTATTGTCAAGGGACCAAAAGTGAAATTTTTTTTAAATATTATTGACATAGTACGTGATGAATGTTACTCCGTATTAAACATGATGCGTCGTCTATAGTAATATTTATATACATTAAACTTTGTTTTTATGAACCTACTATAAAGTGAATGTAAATACATATGATGTATATTTAGTTTAGTGTTCATGGACTTTAATGTTTATGTTTATAGACATATATAACAAATATTATGAGTATAGCACACAATGAATATTAATAAACACTAGTTATCCACCCGTGCGATGCACGGACCAAAAATTAAGTGTGTGTATGTAAATAAATAAATAAATAAATATATATATATATATATATATATATATATATATATATATATATATATAATGTATGTAACAAAAAATAAATAACATACAAAGTTTATATATTATTAAATATCTCTTTATATACAACATTTGACGTTGAAGAAACATATTCTCCATTGTCATTGCAAATAAGTAACTTAAGACCATTTGGATTGCTAACTCTTGACAAAGTAACGTAAAGTTGTCCATGAACAAAAACAGGTTTTTTCAGTAGTAGGCCAACTGTAGAAAGCATTTGTCCTTGGCTCTTGTTAATTGTCATAGCATACGACAACATTAGGGGGAATTGTTTCCTCTGAAATTTAAACGGTAACTTTGGATCTGATGGGGTCAACGACAATCGTGGAATCAACACCTTTGCTCCTGCATTACTGCCGAATAGAATTGTGGCTTCAACAACGTGGTCGCCTAGTTTAGAAATGATTAACCTTGTGCCATTGCACAAACCAGCAGAGTGATCTATATTTCGCAATAACATAACTGGAGACCCAACTTTTAAAGCCAATGAATGGTTTGACACACCAGAGCACTTTAACTCGTTTAAGAACTCCGGGGTGTGAAGTGCGACAACTGAATCAGGAGTGTTTTCCGTCGGACAAACTGAGTCAGAGCTAAAATATGTTCGGCATTCTGCAACATTCATATTACTCATATACTCGTTCACTTCATCGACAACTTCAAGAGTTGGTGCTAAAATTGCTCTTCCAATTAGATAATTGCCATCATGTTGATGCTCAGAAAACATAGGGAATGTACTTTCAACAATAGCACGAATTGGATCACTATTTGTCTTTAACACATGTTCTTGAGGGATTTCAACTTTTGCATAACCATCATTTGGACCACCAACCTGGCCATCACCTATAGCCGCAATCCAATTAGCAAAAGCAGCAAGGTTTCTCCTTTCTCCAGTAGAGCCCACATTTTGCAACCTCAAATTTTGAGTTAACCTCAATACCTTACAATGACTCCATAAATAAGAAGAGTTAATACTTGAGCCAACAATATCTTGCCTGGTACCCTTTGGTATCACCGGTAAGATTTGTCTAAAATCACCTCCAAGAACAACTGTTTTCCCTCCAAATGGCAAGTTGCAACTTGATGGATTAGCAAATCTTAATATATCACGCATTGTCCTATCTAATGCTTCGAAGCAATGCTTGTGCATCATAGGTGCCTCATCCCAAATAATCAAGCTGCATTTAATTATTAACTCCGCTAGATCACTGCCTTGTGAAATATTGCAAGTGGAATCCTCATTCACAGCGATTGGTATGGCAAAACGGGAATGTGCAGTCCGACCACCAGGCATGAGTAACGAAGCAATTCCGCTGGATGCAACGTTCAAAACAATTTTACGCTTTGAGCGTAGTGCAGCTGATAAGGTTTTCCACACAAATGTTTTACCTGTACCACCGTACCCATAAACGAAAAACAAACCTCCATTATTGCCTGCGACTGATTCCAACACGGTAGTGTACACTTGCTTTTGCTCAACAGTTAATTTCTGAACTAATGACAAATGCTCCTGGGCCAATAATGAACAATCGTAATTCAATTCCTCAGCTATCAAACGGTTGCATGCGACAGTTGGCACATCGGTTTCAGGAACAGGCATACACGGAAAGTCTTGCAAGCTCTTACCCCACAATGATAACAATTTTTCCAATTCAGTAAGCCCATATCTTTTCTTCTCACATTCAGGCAACACAAACGCTGCACATCATCACCATTTTAAATAAACTGTAAGTACAGTTAGATCCCGTTGAAAACACTTCATAACTGGTATATTGAGTCTAAGTAGTTTAATAAAGACAGTAGAACTGTACCTGGATCATTCAACAGTGTACGTTGATTGTATTCTGCGTCGTCGCAAAGTTCTGCCCAAACAATTTCCCAAACTTTTTCCGGCTGACAAATTGAGTTAGAAGTAAGTAGAGTAACAAACAGTCTACGAACAGTAGCAGCAGTTGCCCAATGGCTAGCTTCAAGTATTGCATCAACATACTCCTTCTCATCAGAAATCAATCCCCGAGCATAACATGCATCTCGAAAGCAAGAGTACTCAACACCATCTACCGTGCGAATATCTTGAAAAGATGTTGGTCCACGAACTAAATTTAACAAACACCTTAGATAGTAAATTTCACCAGTACCTGGCAGCACATAGAACATGCGACCTATTGCAAATCCTCGACGCCTTGGTTGCCACTCACGAATGCTTTTTTTCCACACAAAGCTATTAGGCATCTGCTTGTATGTTAACTCACAAGCACACGGATACCGTTTATTTGCTTCAAACCACGCGAGGAACATGCCGTGCCTAACTGTCTGGCGTTCAAGCACCGATTCCACAGAAACATCATCGTCGAAAACAATGTTTTGTTCATTCGGCAAATGAAAGCTCAATCGTTCAACGGCTGGATTTCGGAATTGGATGTCATAACTAAAAAGACGCCACACAGCTTCACAAGGAGAGATGTATCTACAATCATAATACATACTAATCTCATCTATAACCTCACTACTATCTTCAGTTTCAGTACTCTTATAAAATTGGGCAGTAACTCGATCATTACCCTTATTCACATATTTGAACAAATACTTAATAGAGCGAGACTGGTTACACCACTCAACATTAATGTGTGCTCTATACTTCATTAACAAATATCTATTGTGCGGCACCACGTATCTATTATCCAATTCAATACCACTTTTGACAACTGTATTCCCATTATCACTACGCTTGTAAACAGGATACCCATTGAAGTCAAGATTAGTGGCCTCAGAGAATTTCTTGGGAAAATGTTTTGAGCAACGACCGTTGACCAAACAAGGTGATTTCTTGTTTGCCACGCCACATGGCCCATGAATCATGAAATCACTAACAGCCTTAAAATATTCAGGGTCAGTGTTTTTTTGGGGGATCTCTGCAGTTATCAAAGAATCAACATTGGCTGCAAATTGTTGTGAATCAGTACGCTCAAGGAAGAGCAAGATGTGTGCATGTGGTAATCCTCACTTCTGGAACTCGATAGTATAAATCACTGCAACAAAACAATGAATATCAACATATAGAGAAATTTTGCCAATAATCTATAATTAATAAATCAAGAAGAATTACACATACCAGCTATAATTTTTCCAAAAATAGAACCACTACTTATCTCCCTAACCAGAGTATCCAATTTCATTTTAAATACACGACATAATACATCAGGACGATCTTCAGGTCTCAAGTTCCGCCCTTCCAACAGTCGTTGTATTTCTGGCCATTTTGGATTACATGTAAAGGTGATAAATAAATTTGGATAACCAATCCAACCACATATTGCCATAGCATCTTGGTAATTCTGAACCATATATCGAGCACCACCTGTGAAGCTAGAAGGCAATACAATACGCCTGCCATGAGTCCTGGGCTGAACTTCTCCACGCGTCAAAGCATCAAAAAGCCCTTTATATGATCCACATCGTAGACTTTTTTGATGTGTACGAATGTAAAGTAGTCGAGCAGATTCAACCATAGTGTAGCCATCAACTAAAAATTGTTGAAATAATCTTTTAGCAAATAAAAATGTTGAAATTTCATTCAGCCGCTCATGAATACGAAATGAAAGATATTCGCGGAGAGAAACACTATGTCGTGCTCCTTTATCAATATGTCTTTCAACATTGAAAGGGATATCCTCTCTATAACCATCTTCACCATACGGGAACAAAATTGGATACTGAAGTGGGAGGTATGCTGGATTAAGTTCAGTAATTCTCTTAAGCACACCTGATTTTGTTTCTATCAATATATCTCTTTCACCCAACATTGGATCTAAATCACCAACAACAATAGCAGCAACCTCTGACACTGTCGGTAGATTATATGTTTTGGCATCCTGAGTGCGTTTCCCAATTAATTTCATTTTGACGTCGACTCTGGGATTTTTCTGTATTTCATGTCTAGCCATTCGAAATGATCTAACCAAAACATTGTTCTCATCTAATGTTAATTGAATATCAGAAACAATATCTTCATGTAATTCTTTGACCTCATTGTCGCCGCTACAATCAAAATTTAACACAAATCAGTTATATATATATATATATATATATATATATAGCATGAATGTGTAGATATCTATGTTTGTGCATAACCACACATGCGAATTACAACTAAGTATACCAATTACATACTAAAAGAGAGCATACCTAACAGCATTAAGCCGATTGAAAATCTCATTTTCTGGTTCATGGATGTAAAGTTGTGCAAACTTCGGTTTATTACCATCAACCGGCAATAAACTGCCCAACAAATGAAAATTCTGACCATTTAATCTGAACACTGGAGGAGCTCCACCTATGTTAATATCTTTGTCAATACGACCTCCCATTGATGTGAAGCTAAACATGTTATTGTACGACCGTATATGTTGCAAAAAAATGTTTGCTTCGTGGAGTTTTGTCGAAAAATAAATCAAAAATGATTTTCGGTGGAATATTTAATCTTGGTAACTTAATCTTGCCATTACTACAACAAACTGAATATCTTGCAGCACCATTGACTTTCACATCCTTCAATTTCTCATCCGTCCAAAAGAACGCTTTACAATGTTGGAATTTAAAAACTGCATCACCTATATCATAATATAGCACTACAATACAATAGTAAATGTTGTTAGTACATCAACAAATATTTTCCAAAAATAAATAAATTAAATAAATAAATATAATGACTTAAAAATTCAAATTATTCTTTAGTTCTACAAAATCTAACCTTTATTGTCAACACCCAAACTTCGAACACTTGAAAAAACCACATTACATTTCTTTTTGTCATCTACACAGATTTAAAATAAGCATTAATATATACACATAAAATAATTAAATAAACTACACAATAAATTACAATTACACTAAAAGAAATAAACAAATACCAATTATCGGTTGACTTGTTTCGCCATTCTCAACTGTAAAATTACAATTATTAGTACTTGAGGTTTGTAACACATCGGCCATAATGTTCGACTGAACTTCAACTGGGTTACAAATTGCACTTCCTGCATCTATATACCCATACATATGAACTCCCATTAATTAGTCATTCAAAGTGTAGGATTTAAATACAAAATGGATAATATTATATACAATAATATATAAGACAATAATAATGTGTGTATGTTAAAAAATTAAATTTATTTACGTACGTACAAAATTACATATCAAATTGCTGATAAAATCCTTTTTTTTTCTTGACGAAAAAATACGTAACAATTTAAAACTACAAACCTAAAGAAAAAACAAATATTTATGATAAACAATAGTAAGACTAATATTTACAACTTAAAACGTAAATAATAAATAAATTTATTCTATTTACTTACAAAATAAAATACACTTGAATTATAGTTACTATTATTATTAACAGCAACAATTCTAGAAAACGGAGGCCTAAAAACTCCAGGAAATAATTGTCGCTGTAAATTTGACTGATGCACAGCACGATCTTTACAACGAACATCAAAACTCGCTTGGTAATCACAATTTTCTAAATTAATTAAAAATTATACCATACTGTAGATTCATAATTTCTACAGCATAAATATTATGATTCTACAATATAAAAATTATGGAGATCCATAATTTCTATGTTGTAAGTCCATAATAATTATGGATCTACGGCTTAGAAATTATGGATCTATCCCATGTTCACCATATGCTTGGTAAACACGTTTCCACATTATAATTTGTCCAATTAAACATAAATAGCATTTCATTACTAATTATGTAGTTAACTAACATACTTAAAATGAAATTATTAATTCCTAAACATTTTATAAAAAAAAAAAGAAAGAAAAAAAAAAGAAGAAGAATTAACAACCCAATATATATATATATATATATATATATATATATATATATATATATATATATATATATATATATATATATATATATAATAAAAAATGAAGAGATGAAGACGAAAGATCTAATCTGAGCCCTCTTCATTTCTCACTTCTCTCGTCTTCATCTAACCCTCTTCATTCCATGATTTCTTTGATGCTATGTATCTCTCTCTTACAACCTAGAACAGATGAGGAAAAATGGTGTTGACCCTTATCCTCTGTCTGTCACGGCTTCATCTCGAACATCTTCATTTTCGGAGGTTACCGATGTTCTCTCTCTCTCTCTCAACCTTGAACGACAACTATCAATTTGTCTTCATTTAGGTGGAAATCGTACTAAACTGAAGCTAAGTTCATAATTACAGATATGTTTTCTCTTAATTTCTTGCTGTTATTTAGTTTTTTTTTTTTTAATGTCTAACTGTGTTTATCACTTTAATTATCTTTATCATCTCCAAATATATATGAGATCTGTTTCAAATTAGTTCTTATTTCTCAAATTAACAGTATTTGTTTGATTCAGAATGCATGCAGTGAAATTTTTAGTCTGTGCTACTTTTATTTTCATAGATTGAAGACCTATTTAGTTTTTTTTTTCTTCTTTCAATTTTCTACATCTTGTATTCCCGATCCTGAAATGATCCTATATGCCTAATTATATATTTATTTGTTTGTTAAATTAGATCCTTATTTTGTTTATAATAGAGGATTATTGTTATTTTCTGGACGAAATATAATTCCCTACACTGTTTATGGAGAAACCCCTAACTCAATGTTTCTTTAAGGCCTAATTTTAGGGTTTCCCTAAACTAAATCCTACAATACTGATAATTTTCAGAAAGTTTATACTTATATTTTTATATTCACTATCAGATTCGATGAATTTTTGTAAAGCTATAGAGACTATACCTAATTTTTGTTTAACTCTTGTTCTTTACTTACATTAAACTTGTAATTTGGTAACTATATCTATTTTGAAAACACATTTTAGAGGACACCAAATCTGCACATTACAACCTAATGAAAGCAATATCAAAAATGGAAAATCTTGAAAAAAATATGAAAAATACCTTTTTTTTTTTCTTTTCATTATTCTGAATGAAACTTCAGTGGATATTTAATTTTTTTTATAGTGCATATTACATATATACATGTTACCAACAAAAATGATTGCATTTTAATCATTTTCAAAATTATATTTTTTTTCTACAATTGACATACCACTTTTAATAAATATTTATTGCAGATTTCACAACAAATGTTAAGCAAATGAGGACCCTGGTGCAACTGAAATAAGAACACAATCATTCATGGAATTTGAATGAAGACAAATAGGTATGAAACATTGTACCTTTATTTGAGCCAACATATTTCCTTTTTCCACATATCGTAGTTGATCCTGTCAATTTCTTCATTCTTACTGCAATTACTAACAATGCAATCACATTAATGGTAGATTCTTTCAAAATGAGTGGAGAATAGAGATGTTTCTTTGTTAGACTTAAATGAGTTGTATATATAGATATCAAATTTGAGATAATTGAAAAGTCACTATCACACATTACTTTTACAAAGTCAAAACTTACCATCAGCAATTAATGCTTGATAGTAAGGCTATGTCTATAAATAAAGTAGAAATATTGTATGTATTGGATTTTGTGTAACTTGGATTCTATTCAATTAATGTGATAGCTATTTTTAAAATTTTAAATAAGAAAAAAATCATTTCAAAATCATATCAGATTTGGTTTTCCTTTTCTCCACCATCTGGATGAATGAATAATTGAATATGCCACTTTTGTAAATGGCATATGCCCAGGTTCTTGTCCAAATAAAAGTGGGTTCACACTAACCCATGTAAAATGCAACATTGAGTTGAGATGTATATATGGAGATGTAGCCTGTAGCTGCATTATATTGCATAGCAAAATTTCCCTTGGCATGCAGCCATGGAAAGCAGTCTCATTACTTATTGTGTCTCTTCCAAATGTTTAATGGTGCCCTCTGCCAAAGGAGATTTGCCTAGCAATTCACATATAATAAACAACAAATTAAAAAAACAACAAAGTTAAATACAAAAAAAAATAGAACAAACCGAAAATTAATTTAATTATTATATAGACAGAGTCACAGACATTGTATTTACAAATTATTTGAAGTACTAATCGCGCTGCATGTATATTCATAATACTAACACAAAAATTTTGAAATGCTTGTGTAGATGGTGCAACATTAAGGCGAACATACAACCAAAAACCAGATAACGATGCAAATGAGTTAGTATGTTTAAAGTTACTAAAGTTTTAATTCCAACATGCAAAGGTATGGTTCCATTGTATCTTAATCTTTTATTCTTTTGTTCTTTTATATTGAAATTTCGTTGTGCATATTGCATTCCTTTGCTCATTACTTGCATTTGTTAAGTTGGGAAAACTTGTTTTTTTTTTTGTTACTCAATTTCTGCGAAACTGTTTTCACTGCTCATTGCTTTGATAGACAAGTGTAAAAGTTACCATTAGACATTTTTTTAAAAAAACTTGTTATCATATTACCCGTTGGTGACTAATAACGTCAAGCATAACTATATGAGATTGTGTTTTCTCTTCCGAAATATAGTATAACTTACAGCAAACAACAATTGGATACAATTTTCCAATTGTGGTTAACTGTGATCACCCCTTATTGCTTTGACAGACCATTGCAATTTTATGTGTCCATTTTTTTCTAAGTTGTTAATATATTATGATTTGCTGACTATTATGTGTTTCTGTAGTAGTAATTGTTTAAACAATCCCTTTACAAATTTAGTCCTTTTTTTTTTCTTTTCGAAGTTCTTAGTATATGATGATTTGTTGACTAATATGTGTATGTCTTATCTATATCTAATTAAACATAATGTCTATTTGGTTTTTACAAAATATATGGCAATTTAGTTTTTTTTTCCCTAATTTCTTACTATATCATCATTTGTTGAGTAATGTCTTTTTATCATCTATAGCAAACTGTAGATCAAACTAATAGGGCAAGGTCTAAGTGTAAAATATCAACATCATGTGCGATTTTCAGTATATAACTTATAAGCAAGTCCATCAACTTGAATCTTATGTGTTTTTGCCACTCTTTACATGTTTTTCTATGATATTATCTAATCATGATAGGGGCAAATGATGATAAACATGTCTGATGCCAATTTTTTGGACAAAGTGTTAATGAAAATTATTGCGATTAGGATATTACCTAATATCAAATATTGGTAATCTGTTTTCAGATATTTATTTTTACAGCTTTAGCCTTTTTTTCAAGTTGAGCAATTTTTTTCTTTGTCTAGATGTTGACAATATGTGATGAATGGTTGATTAATAAGTGTTTGTCCTACATATACCTATGTGAAGATAATCCATATTTGCCTAGGAAACATAGAGTTGAAATTAGCATCATATTACATTAAGTAGACTTAGATAACAGCTGCAACTAAGACAAAGCCAGTTTACAAAAACACAGAACATCATCACCCACCTACACCTAGTCACCATACTATTAAGTGAACCTTAACTTTACAGTTCAACCAATTCAGCCTTCAAAACACACCAGCAAAAATACACATTAGGGTGGATTACCAAAAACATAAAACCTAGTCTTAGTGCAAGCCATTTTCAACATATTCCCTTTAATGCTACTCCATTTACTTCTCCTTCTTCACAACAGCAACCTTAGGTTTCTTTGAGCTCCCAACAGCATCAAAATCCTTCATTAGGCACCTCTTAAGAGGAACAGCAACAGCCTCATCATCTAGATCTGTAGGAATTTCATCCAGCCCAACACACTGGTCCTGGTCAAAGTCTTCAGAACCAATTTCCAGTCCTTTACACTCTTCATCATCACTAACAAACACTTGCTAAATGAGAAAAAAAAAACTTAAGCATTAGCTACTAAGTATTTGACATTTGTTAAAAGCATTCCTTTTTGTAGTTTAGATGATATCTACCTCGCAGGCTTGACCAACATCCAAACCACCATCAGCTGACACGATCTCAGATTGGCCGCAAGCTAAGAAACCTGAGCAGTGCTGTGTAAGCACTGCTTCATCTTTACAAACACGTAGAACAGTGAAAGCAGAGTAATAACTCTCTACTTGATCTTTCTTCATAGCTATCCGAAATAGCATAGACATCCCATGCAAACGTCCTAGCTCCGGTGGAATAGAGTTATTACCCTAGGAAAATTTCATATACTGTGTCAAGGTTTAGCCTCACAAATCAGGTAAGAAGATTAAAAAAAAAAATTTGCATACCCCAGGATACTTCTCCTTTAAGTCAGCAGCCGCTATACCAACCAAATCAGCACATTCCCGATCCCATATGAGCATGGGAGCATCCCCAGTTTCATCAGCAACACGAACTATCACTCTATACCTCACAATCCCTTCTTACCAATAGCTCTTACACCCAGAACAATAGAGCATCCCTCCACTCTCAGACAGCTTTCTCTTGCAAGAATTAGTCTTGCAAGAGATAAAGTACCAATCACATAGACTCTCAACACCAACAATTCGACCAGCTACCCAATACTCCCCCAACTGCCCAACATAACACAATAAAGGTACTGTTAGTTAGTTATTGATACATCCAGCCTTACATAATTAGTTAAATCTGTATTTTAGGTAATTATATTCCCACAGAAATAGATTATAACCACTAATGTTTGTTAGTTATGATAAATCCAGCCTTGTATACATAGTTAAACTTACATTGTACGAAACCATATTTCAACAGAAATATATTATAAACACTACTGTTAGTTAGTTAGTGATTATTGATAAATCCAGCCTTATATACGTAGTTAAAGTTACAATTTAGGTAACTATATTCCCACAAAAATAGATTATAAACACTACATACTTTAAGTCAAAGTTTAGGTAACTATATTCCCACAGAAATAGATTATAAGCACTACCATTGGTTACTTAGTAATTATTGATAAATCCAGCCTTATATAGATAGTTAAAGGTACAGAAGTGGTAACTATATTCTCTATGCAAATAGGTTTTAAGCAAAAAAATCATAACTTACATTTTTTTTTACTGTATATTTCCTCAATAGAACTGACCAACACTTCCTTGGAAGTACCACTACCATTAGGAAGACCACCACCAAGCCGAGATGAGGAATCAATACACCGCAATGGAGTTGAGTTACTTGTGAAGCTACTAAAACAACAAACCAACAAAACACTTAGTGCTTCATTAAGAAGCAACCATGAAATTAGGAAAGATTTCCTAGGTACACTCACCGGCTCTTAAATGCAACAAACTCCTTACAGGGGTGAGAGAAAAACAGTTGAGTTGCATCGAAAGAGCTGCATATGCGCACTTCACCATCTATCAAGCATAAGAGATTAAATAAGTACACAAATTATATGTGTAGTAAATACTAAGTTAGACTTACTGTCCATAAACTTAGCACGGCATAGTTGGATCAAAAGTATGACTGGGTCAGTAACATCTTGGTTGAAATAAGGAATAAGTTGATCCACATGGTCATCCCAAAGTGTGCACTTAATCTGATTTTTACTGCACACATAATTGTAAAAAAGTTAGACAATCAAAATGTAATATATAGCTTACTAAATGTAATAGACAGAAGTGCAAAATTCAGAAGAAAAACTTACCTCATATCCTCAAGGACAAAGTCTATCAACTTTGTTTTTTTTCCAGCTATTACCTTCTCCAGTGGGGAATAAATCTCCACAACTCTACCAATGACATCTAAAAACATAGGACTATGTTAACAACACATATAAGATATTTTTGTAGATTATCATAATTGTAATTTGAATATAACAGTTTTGATTATGAATCACTTACCCATTAAAACTTTCTCATCCACATCTTGTTTTGAAAGTATAGCAGGGAAACTCTTGAACCGAAACATCGTTTTCGGGAACTTGATACGCTTATATTGCTTCACCAATGTGTCATACTTAAACTTTATCATATAACGCAAAGTGCTTGTTTTGTATTTGAAAAAGTTTGTGATACATAGGAAATTCCTAATCCCATAAACTTGCCCCTCCTTGAATTCATTCTTATATTTGCTTACAATGTCCTTAGGTATGTGCACATGGATGAAAATACCCTATATTTCAAAGAACCAAAACAACATAGTTAGAAGAACCTAGCAACACTTAAAAACAATCTATATATATATATATATATATATATATATATATATATATATATATATATATATATATATATATATATATATATATATATATATATATAAGAAGGTAATGTAGGAATAACACCTGTTCATCTACGAACACACACTCTTGGCTTCTTATGTTGTTTTCTCCCTTTGTTTCAGTGACAACATAATTCCTTACACAACGCAGCTTAATTGCCTTCGTAGTAAGCTGTGGATGAAGGTCTGCACCAAGAATGAATTGCCCAGACATCCTTCAGAGATGGTCACTGCCAATTGGAACTTACTTTAATGCTTACTGTAAACTGTATTGTTTTGGGTTTCACTACTCTCTTCGCATACTTGTAAAATTATGTCTCATTGTGTATGTATATATAGCCCCGGAGATCACCTCCTATACGTATTATTATATTGAAAAATATATAGGCTTGACAGCAATCTCATACCCTGAAAACTTAAAATGCACGCATACTATGAAGAAGGCCATACCCATAGCAACTCTACAATAGGCCAACAACCTAAAAATTAGGATAAAATCTCACGCAAATATCATATCTTCTGAAATCTGATTTGATTAAATAATAAAAAAAATAAATTCAAAGTAGGCGGGACATTCTTAGATTTGAATAACAGGAAAAAAAAAACAAAAAAAAACAAAAAAAAAAAAACAAAAAACAAACAAACAAACAAAACGGTGTAGTTTTCCATGAGCGGGAAAATGAAGCCATTTGATTGGCTGAAAAATAGTGACCTTTATATGTATATAGATGATGCGTTCATAGTATACTGTCTATGAACATTAAGCTTTATTTTTATGAACATATAAAATGAATATTATGAACCAACTATAGATGAATGAAAATTCATATAATGTATATTTAGTTTTGTGTTTATGGACACTAAAGTTTGATTTATGGACATATAGAACAAATATTATGAACATAGTATATGATAGTGTTGTTAAATATGATGTACTAATTGACATTTGATATAAAACGATGTCGTTTTGGACCAGGATCCACCATGGAAGGTGACCCTAGTCCACCATGGAAGCAACACGCATGACCTGCATTTATTAAAAAAAAAAAATATTATCTTGGACACCTTAAACAATACACATAGTCTGCGCTTACTAATATTACATTATATCCTATCCTATCCTATATATAATAAAGTCATATGGTCTTGTGAAAATTAAATGGTAATCATCAACGTTTAATTTTCAAAGGCCATAATAATATTGTTAATTATAATAACAATAACAATATTAATAATAATAATAATTGCAATAATAATAATGATAATAATTTCCACTAACAGTTTCTAATATATATATATATATATATATATATATATATATATATATATATATATATATATATATATATTTCAATTTCTACTGGTAAATTATTGTGTGAACGATGGTCCACATAATTGTAGGGATCATGAATATCAAATACATTTTTAATATATTAAAAATACATTATTTTTATATTGAAAGTACCTTACATACATATATAATGTACCCTTAGTAATTTAAAATATACTTTTTATTTCATGCAACCCCAAAATTCATAAGTTTGAAATTAATATATGGCATAGCTAGGCGGCCTAATATTTAACATTGTTGATGTGCATATTGAGGACTACGGAGACAAAGATGCGTTATTCGTGGATTCATCGGATACTATCCAACAACACTCTCCAACTTAATTGACATGAAGTAGGCTTAGTAACATTAAGATTATATTCTCGAATTATTAGTTCTCATCTTTTATTGATTACACACTTAATTCGATAGTATTTGGAAGAAAAAATCAATGTTCGAACTAAAATTGTGATTTTGGTCTTTAAAGGTCAATTGTACGTTGCTACATCTAGAGTTAGACATCTCAAAGGTCTAAAAATGTTGATCCGTGGTGACTCTAAAATTGTAATTCAATTACTATTGTAGTTTACTAAGTTCTTAAAAATTTGTAATGAGTTAATACCCAAAATCGTCCTCGACTATAGTGGTTTTTCTCAATTTCGTCCTAAACGACTTTGGTGACCTAATATCGTCCCAGACTTTTGTGTTTCGCTCAATTTAGTCCTCCATTTGTTATTCCGTCAAATTGGTGTTAAATTAAGGGACAATTCAGTAATGTCAATATTGATGTATCTTTACTTTCAACTTGTGAAGTGCGAAATTCCTCTTTCTTGTACGAATTACTCCCGGACTTGCAAATCAAATTTTATATTCGCAGTTTTTGGAGTAATTCTGGGAGTAATTCGTAAAAAAAAAAAAAAGGATTTCGCAGTTCACATGTCTATGAGTAAAGAGATGCCAATATTAAAATTACTGAATTGTCTATTTATTTAACACCAAATGGACAGAATAACAAATGAGGGACTAAATTGAGCAAAAATACAAAAATCTGGGACTAAATTGAGCGAAACACAAAAGTCTGGGACGATATTAGGTCACCAAAGTCGTTTAGGACGAAATTGAGAAAAACCACTATAGTCGAAGACGATTTTGGGTATTAACTCAATTTGTAATATTAAATACTATGTAATAAATTTTTAATATAGTTTAAGATTTGTAGTAATCACCCACCTTAAATATTATTTTAATTATAAATATATTTATGTTCATAATTTTATCATAGGAATTCACACATAATAATTATTAAATAACAAAAATTTTATATATGAATAAACCTCATATAGGGTATATTTTTATAACATATTTTCCGTGCATCGCACGGGACAAATACTAGTTTAGTGTAATAGTTTAATATATGCAAATTCTAATACTTATGGGCGGCAATTTATATCCTGCACCAGGGTGCGCATTGCATTGTGCGCCCTGATGCAAAACGACGTCGTTTTTTTTTTTTTTTTTTTTAATTTCGCTACCCTATGTTGGCAGTTAATTTTCTTTAAAAAAATCTTATGTTCAAAAATGTACATAATTTTATACTAAAATACACATAATTGTATACATGACTATACATAATTGTATAACAAAATACACATACTTTTTTTTAAAAGTTAATACATATAATCTAACATAATACATAATATACATAAACTTTTAACATAATAAACATCAACTCTTAACATAATACACATAAGTTTCCTGTTTCGGATGTACATAATTGTATAAAATATATGTACATGATTGTATAAAAAATGTACATAATTGTATAAACAAATACACATACTTATATAAACAAATACACATATATAATTTATAAACAAATACACATAATCACGTCAACTGCCTACATAATTTACCAAAACGACGTCGTTTTGGGAGGGGCGGGGAGCACAATGCTATGCGCACCGTGGTGCAGGGTATAACGATTTCTTATGGGCAGCCAAATACATTATTTGTTGTGTTGACTACATTTATTTAAAATTTTCAAATTCAAAGTTTATGTCTAGCAAAGTCACTTTGCACTCTAGCTTTTAGATGTCCCTTAGCTTGCTTATAAATACCTACAAATTAGGTTCAGTCTTTGTGGTTTTTTTTTTTTGGTATAGTTCTCTTTGTATGGCCAAGGTATTTTTGTAGTTTGACAAGTGATGGGTATATGGTCCCTTTTTTTATTTAATCCCAACCCTGGTTGCAGTAGGCGCTAGGCGCTAGTCGGGCGCCCGGGCAGCGCCTAGCGCCTAGTCGGCCTAGGTGGAATCTAGGCGGCGCTAAGCGGGCGCCAAAAAAACAGGGGCAGACTTGCAGTTTGACAATTTTAATGAGGCTGTTTACAACATTCAATCAAATAACGCATCCAAATAAATGAAATAATGATAATTTATAAGTCATAACATCAAAACAATATTAAAAATTAAAAATACTCAAATATTTCAATCATCTAAAGATTCAAAGTATCAAACTAGTCTATTGGTGTATATATGTCATATTATATATATATATATATATATATATATATATATATATATATATATATATATATATATATATATATATATATATATAATGATAAAAAATTAGCAAGGTCGAACTAATCGGGTTAACTTGACCGAAATGGACAAGTTAACTCGGCTAAGTTAGATGCTAGGCGGTCAAGTCGGCCGAGTTATGCGCTAGACGTTGCCTAGGCGGCCAGTCACCTAGGAGGGCGCCTAAGGGCGAAATCGCCATGGTCTAGAGGCGCCTAGATCAATTTTTGCAATAGTGATCCCAACCCTAAGTCATTATTCTCAAAAAAAAATAAAAAAAATAATAAAAAATAAAAACTCTAAGTCATTATAAAGCAAAATTTGATATTAGGTACTCTACATACTTTATTATAATGAGATATTGTTAAAATATTATATAATATTTTGAATATTTATTTATATTATTTAAATTTGATAAATAATACTCCCTCAGTCCCGAATTCCATGTCTTCTTTTCATTTTGCACGATTTTTTAGGTAGCAAATTAAAAGTAAATTTTCTTCCACTTTTACCCCTCTCTTTTTTCTCTCACCAGACATTCAATAACCCACTAGCCAGAAGCCTAGAACAACCGTACACTTTTTCTTTTTCTTCTCTCACTTTCTCTCCCGTTCTCTGTCTCTCTTTCATTACTCAATACCTCTCTCTCTAGTTCTAATTTTTTCTCCAGCCACTCAAAGTCCCAATTTATTCTCCATCCACTCAAAGTCTTCATGTGTTGTTGCTCAAAGATCTACATCGCCATACTCATACGGGAAGATATTGAAGATCCTAATTTTGTAGAGATTTCAACGCAAGCATATGGAGTTTTGATGAAATTGGAGCATGGGTTTTGCAATTTTTCAATCAATTTTAAAAATTGATACCAAGGTTAGTGTTCTACACTCAATCTATGAAGTTTTCCTACAAATTATCACATTAAAACTTTTGAAAAATTATTCTTAGTTCTCTTTCAATCTAGGTTTTTTTTTTTTTTTTTTTTTTTTTTTTTTTTTTTTTTTTTTTTTTTTAAAGAAAAAAAGTGGACTGAATCTCAAATCCCTAAAAATTGAAATACATAGCACGAAAAGAAAAAAATTCTGTAATTCTGAATCTTTTTTTACTCTTTTTTATACTCAATTTTGATGATTATACAGAGCACTCTTTTTTATTCTCTACTTCTCAATGAAAAATTACTCAGTAGTTTCTGTTTATATAGATGTAGTAGGATCACCAAAATTGAGAAAAAATTGCGGGAAAATTTTCCGCCAATTTTTGATATGACATTTACAGATTAAAATACTCTATTTTGGTTACCTTATG